TTATTATTATTCTCTGTTTTGAAGGATGTTTTGATGATCCTGGGTCCCTGAGATTCCTATCTAATGAGTGCTTTTTGGGCTTCTTTGGATGGAATCCTAGTGCGTGTGAAGCATTTTCTTCTTGATAGCTGCAGTATGACAGAATCTCTCGTGAAGCTAGTATTTTTTGTACAGCCTGAGATCAATGTGTTTCACTGATTCCAAGTACCACGAGGTTGTATCCTTATACTTCCCAACCGACTTAAATGCTTCTTCTGACCTTACACGAAATCTAAGCACGGATACAGAAGGCTCGACTGGTGTTTGCGAACTTGCGTCACTTATAGAATAGGCGAGATATCCGTTTGCTAAGCAAAGGACGAATGTACTGTGCAGCAGTTTGCTCCGTCCTACTACATGGTTGTGAAACATGGCCAGTAAGAGTTGAGAATATTCATAGGTTGCTTGTTTTCGATCATAGGTGTCTTCGAATCGTTGCTCGTCTATTGTTGGACCATTGAGTAAGCAGCGGTTTTGTTAGGTAACGGGTCCTAGGTAATTTAGGCAGATCTATATATAAAGTATCGGAACTTCATCAATTGAGGTGGTTAGGACATGTGCTACGTATGCCCAACTATCAACTGCCTCGGCGAGCGATGTTTTGTGGTGTAGTGGTAAGCTGGAAGAAAGTTGGGGGCAGTCATATCAAAGCTTGGCACAAGTCAATAAAGTAACTGACAACTGGAATGAGCCATGTTGGTAGGTGCAGACTACCTGCAGACTGAGAAACAAGAGTACCCGGTGGTTAGAGACCTTGAACCACATGGCTAGAAATCGTTTGTTGTGACACACGTGCGTCCGTTCTCTGCTTTCTGTTAAATTGTAATCTGAATTTTTCATCGCCTTTATCTTTTTTTAAAGTTACCTTCAGTAGATTATACTTCTTGAATAATAACTTCGAAGCCTAAACGTCTCCATTACCGTTGATTTTTCTACTACTGTTGAGTTTGAAATGATAATTGCGTCTCTCTGCTAATGTGTTATGACAACTTGAACTGATGTACATAGATACAAAGTTCTACGTCGTTGCTGACTGACCTCCCACTCTGTGATAACATCCTATGTATCTATACTAATTGTTGCAGTAGTTGAGATGTACCATGGTCTTCGTGACTTACGAAGAAACTCGGCTTTGAATGTGAGGTGTGATAACTCTTTTTAAAAAGGTTCTTCTAACTGCCAGAGCAAAGTTTAAATAGTCTGTGTTATTTTCCTGGTTAGCGTTTTTTAGCGAGTTAGTTTTCTACGGGTTGGGGTCTCTGACCTCTTGCCAAGCCTTGAAAGTAAAAAATAATTTCTCATCGAGGTTTAAATGTCTCACGTTTGGTTCTAGAGAGTGGGCATTGTTAAGGAAATACGAAGGAAAGCAACACATCTGTCCATTTCTACCAAGTTTTTTACTGTCGTTTAGCTAATGTATATCGCAGTAAGCTCAATAGGAAAACTGTTTTAATTCATCTATCTCCCAATGGCTGGAAGCAAATATTCTGTTTAATAGGCGAAACTCTGTTGATGAAATACATGTTATACAGAGGTTAAACGCTACCTTCAGTAAAGTATGTTTCACTAAGTAAACAGATATCTATTCAAGACGGGTTGTACTTGAAATGATAAAATGCCCACAGGTAAAATATCGAATTGTTGTGAACAGCTGTTACATACCAAAAAATCAATAAATCTTATCAAATCCTAATTATATAGATCAGAGAACTTAATATAGCGGATCTTGTAAGTTAAGAAATTTCTAGAGAAAAATTACGATATTATTAATTACTGAATAGTCAAGAAAGCAATAGACTGATATATTCGGTTAACTGGAAATATCTAACGTGCCTACATTGTTCATCTCTAACTGAAATGAGTGGCATAAAAAATAAAACCCTATTGTGCGTCCAGATCGAATTAAATACAATACTTACAATAGCAGACAAATACCGAAGCTTGATTAGAAAAGTCTGATCTCAGTTGGTTAAATATTTACATATTTTAATCACAATATTTTTAACTGAAATTAATTTTTAAATTAGTAGCTCTGCCTCTGGACATGAAAAGCCTCAGTCGCCATACCTTTTTAGCAAGTGTCCGTTCACGTATTATCTCATTTACCAGTTATCTGACAACATGCTGAGAACTGCCGTACTTGGAATTTTAATAATTAATACATTGAAATTAACACTTACATTTTTTCGGAGGATTTGATATTCCTATTGAACCAGCCCGAAAACATCTGCCACATGTCTTTCTGCAAAACGGTATGGCGTATTTTGCTTCATCGTAACATTTATTTTTAGAAACTGCATCACTGCAATATTTCATTTCATTGACATCATCTTTGCACCGATCAAAGGCATATTCTATGAGAGTAAATTACAAATAATCAATGAATCAATAAATTTACTGAGGAATTTAATAAGCCTTTAATTTTTTAGGGGGAAGGGTTACAGCAAAGAAATCACCAGCAATAGAATTCAATAGATTCTTCTGCTAACCCGTATCCACTTTTGTTTACAATGCTTTTAATCCGAAAGGCGATATCGAGATGATCTGTTATGCTCGTCCATTGATATGCTTGAAACTATTACGAGTTCATCTTAGTCGGTAAATGAGAGCGAAGACAAATGATCCAGTGACACTATAGGCTGCTCTAATCCGAGCGTCCCAAGGCCACACTAAGTAGAGGAAGAAGTCTTGAAAAGACATAGAAAGTGTATTCTACAAGCACCCAGAAAATATGAGATCCACAAATACACAAAATGTCCTTGGGAGAGCCACAAAAATAGCGTACTGAAATAATACATCAGCCAATAACAGCCAAGGATTTCCGGGTGGAAAATGTAATCTCAAGGTCAACTGACCAACCCATGCGCGAAAGCATAAACTCAAAATTAAGACCTTTATTAAGTGAGTTCTGGGGATCTAAACTCCCCATCATGATCCGCACAAAATGCACATATGAAAAGAGATCAATCAATAGCTGTCCTGAACATTAGCTGGGAGATTCAAACAACCAATGCAATGAAATAGTTTAATTGTCAGTATAGGTTTGCGGAGATTCTTGAGCTTCATTGAAATTATGCACTGATCATTGTTAGACCATCAATGGAAACCTTACAGCACTGAACTTCCTTTTCGTCCTAGTATGGAACTCATCAGTAGTACGTGTCCAAGACTTTGTCAGCGGGAATTGAACCCAGAACCTTTGATTTCATACGCAAGCGCTTAACCCCTTAAACAATACAACAGTTTAATTCCTGATTTTGAAAACTTTGTTTTATTTCTTTAACGAGTACTTTTCCTTGCCTTAATGAAAATCAATGTCGGAAAATCATTTCATCGATTGTAAATTCACGGAATTTTTTATCGATCCATTGACCCATTACTCGTTAAGTTAATTAATTAAAACGATTTTTTTTACAATATAAGAATATTCTAGTTCAACTACAACTATTGAATATCATTTCTTAGGTGAGTCTGGTTTTTCTTATTTTGTGTCTAGTTCTTCAAATTTCCTGCACAGATTTACCAATTAAACTGAGTCAGACTTTTGCTTTAATCATATTAGTAAATTTAATTTTAATTTATCTATGGCTGATGAAAAGTGTTGAAATGATATAATTCATACATTTAATAGTATTGATTTTATTGTTTTAACTGTTTAAAAGATGTTAATGGGTAATTATGCGTTCAATAGATGAGAATAATTCTTTACAAAATCCATCCTACCTAATTGAAATATAAAGTTTGTGCTTACTTGAAACATTTGTACAAACACAATGTTTGTTTCGAAATTCGCCTGATTTACAAGGTACACTTTGATTAGAGCAGGTTTCTGTTTAAAAAGAATGAAACGAATTGAAATAAGTTTAAGTTAAGCTATTTTTTTGATACAGTTAACTTCCTTTTTGAATTTAAATAAGCCTAGAACAACAACCGAGGCAGAATCCATTAAATTTCTTGGTTTCTCATTAGCTGCTTACAAATATATATGTAGTTTAGTTTATTGCTGAGGTATATATGATATCATGTGAAGCAGCTGATAGTGATGATGAAAAGAATGAAAGTAATAGAGATTGACAATAATCGTTTCAAAGAATTTCAGAGTGACAGTCTGAGTGACTTTAAATAGTACTATAGCTGAGCATTTAATTATTACGTGGCATATTACCGATATCTTCCAATCGTTTAAAATTATCAATAAATAAAAAAATAAAGCATCTCTTCGGTTTGCCGAAACAGTAGTAATTAAAAACTTGGATTTGATTTGTGTATCCTGAAAGAGACATTCCTCAGTTTATCATTACTTCGGTAATTGTTATTGATATTATTATATTTTTCTATTAACTCTTCTTTATTTTCTGTAAGCCAGAAAATTCACCTTTTCTGATTTCGGACTTCATTGAATTACTCTCTCAAACTGTTCTCTTTTTTTTTTAATTCACCTCAATCTCGTTGATGAACAACTATTATTGTCAGTTATATCAATGTTGCTGATGAGAAAAACATAAAACAGAATGTATCCATAATATTTTGCCTCAGTTGTTGTTCTGGCTTTGTTCACAGTTAAGATAAGTAAAGCATTTTATATTAGGTTTCAGTGCACTTACCTACTTATGTCAATACTTACACGTTGTTACATGATTAATATTATTAAAATTGACTGAATTAGATATAAAACGACCAGTTAGTTCACCTCAGTGTTTAAACGGTTATCTGAATCAAGATATATTTGCTTTAAAATGAATGATGCTTCTAAAAAGGCTTCCAGTTAATAACTTTTATTTTGAAACAGGAAAAACAATTTACCAAATCTTTACGTTCAACTATGATAAAGAAGTGTGTGTAAACTATTTTGGAGTTATGAGAATTCATTGTCTGGATTTTAAGCAAACTTATTGTATGACTGACTATATTGTTTACTTCCGTTCAGTTCACAAAAGTTGCTTTAGTTTATACGCGGATCAAAGAAGTGAGACTTATGTAGTCCCGTGATTAGCATGAAACTAAAGCTGTGCAAAGTTCAGATGGTTTTAATGAAAAGATGTAAGATAAATTTACTAAAACATTTCAGGTGTCCCTAAGTTTTGTAACTGTACAACTAAGCAACTTTTCTTTTTAAGTTTTGTAGAAAATAATCTTTCAAGTGAACTGTTGATGTTAAAAAAAATTATTCTGAAGATGGAAAAACTTTAAAACAAAAATAACAACCATAAAACTTAGTATTTAAATAAACTATCATATATATGACAAATGCTACTTAATATGAAAGTTTAAAATTTGAACGTACTATCACACTGATACAGTCGATTTAAACCAACAGTATCCTCAAATGATAAGTATTTTTCACTGATTGAAAACAATGGTTCATTATCTAAATCAATGACCGGTTCCCATACTGGATTACCATTTGATGTGAAAGTCTGAAAGGAAATCAAGGACGCACATTTTTGAAAAATTTTCGAAAGCAAAGTGATGATTTTGTTATATTTTTAGTGTTATTTGGTAGTTCGTAACTCAAAGCTCATCTTGATTTCTGACTGCTATCTTCAAGAAGAAACTTGATTCCAGATTGTTCGGTTAACATTTGACTGTCAATTGTCTTAAATATTTTGAAAACTCATGACAAACGGATGCAAACGGTAAAGTTAATATATCAAGTAATATAACCTTCATGACGGAAAAATTGACTGAATGTTCTAAGATGTATCTGTATGTTTATGTATCCATGATTTCGAAAATCATATATATATTGAAAGTTAAAATTGATCTTATATTCTTCAAACGTTATAGAGACGTTGTTGTTTTCGCATAATTACAACTTAAACTTGATTGTATAGCAGTTTATTTGCTTCCTTATTAAAGAACTATTCATATGATTTTTGGCTTCTGTGTATAATTCTCTTTCATGTATCGGTTTGTTTGATATTTACTAACTAATTTTCGACAATACTCTGTATTTCTTCTATTGATAGAACAATTACGGAATGTTATCGATCACCAAAATCATAAATGATCAGACGGAATACATCAACCCACTCTTCAGGATACATGTGACTCAATAAACAATTTAACAAACAACATAGTCAATGCTCTGTAAAGTTACTGAAATTCATTCAATAACCAAGTTTTAACAAAGAATCAAGAAATAATAATAATACAAGGGAAAAGATGACATTTTAGTTTTACTTACAAAAGGATCATATAAACTAATTGATTGAAAATCAAATTTACGATCTGCCAAAATAGACTGGTGTTCTTTAACTTTTTTAAATTCTGGCAAATATGATTTATCAATGTTTTCTTCGTGTAGAATGACGTATTGATCACGATCTGGTCGCATAATTTCATGCATTACACCTAATGAATGAAGTAATTCATGAAGTATTTGACCAACCTAAATGAGAAAAAAAAAGAAGGAAAATATTTTAACTTTTGTTATTTTAAAATGTTGTAATATTGAAAAACTTCAAATCGATTACGCAGAGTTAAATCAATAGTTCTAGTGACTTTTGAAAGTTTTGTAGTCGTTATCTGTACTATAACCAGTGTCTCGTAATAACAGTAGTAACCTGGAGGAAAGTGCTTAACCGAGTATTTGACCGAATTACACTAGCCTATCAACAGGTGGTAATTTATTGCCTGCTGTTGACCTTATCATGATGATAGAAAACTCTGAGTCAAGTTCTACAAGTAACAATAAAATTAATGTTAGTTGCAAGCCATTGACCGATTCATTTAATTTATGCTTTGTATTGCTTAGCACTTATCATCAGGAAAAATATTTGATCATAATACACAGACTTATTTTCATATTTTTAATGGAACGACAGAAGTCAGTATATGATGACTAAGTTACATGATATTAGTAACTAATCAGTGATCAAAAAATATAATCCCTCACCTTAATAGACTATCAGTTGTGGTTTGAATAGTTTGATGACTGGATTTTTTGACCATTGTTACAGTAGTATCTCAATTAGGCTGTCACCTTTTGTGACCTTAAGTCTATTTATTGATAACTATTGTCAAGTAAAAGTAATCAAATACAGACTTTTCCAACTAAATGGTCATCATAAATTGTTTTGAATTGAACAGGAGGAAGTCTAGATGATTAACCTTATAACTTTTAGAACAATCATCTTATTAGTTACTGTAATTATACACATCATCCTAGTATGGTTAACTAATGTTTGGAGTAATTATGGTTCTCGTAGACAAATATGAAAGGGTTACAAAGTTACTGTAAATTCTCTGAATTCACTTTTAATTTATGTATAATATTATTTTCACTGTATTTTACCATTCTCAAATCAGATTAACAATCGTGTTCATATTTCTCTAGATTAAACTTGAAGAAAAGAATTGTTTGAAATAATTTACTCCCTAAGATTATTTACCCCACTGATGACTTGGATTAAAAATAAGTGACGAAACAGGATCAATATAAGGATCATTCAAATTTACTGGAAGAGTTCAAGTTACTCATAATTTACAGTAGTAGATCTCATTTAAATAAATAGAATGGCAAGCTTAAGACCATTTAACTTCAAAGTCAAATGTAATTACTATGATTATTATCTTGATTTTTCAAATTTATGCCTGAAAGGACATGTGATATGTAACTTAAACCTATGAATCCATTATGATTTGTTTAAATCCTTAAATCACTTCATGTAAACAAAATCTTCACTAATGATGCAAAATCGTTTGAAACTTTTTCTTCTTTTAAAGCAACCTAATAAAAATTTTGTAATAAGATTAAAACTGTATCTTTAATTTGTGTAAGTAAAGCTTGACATTTATATAAAGAGTTTCAGGTACTTATTAGTAATAGAATATTGTACTAGAATCATATAATTTCCTTCGACCTTTTGCTAATATACCCAGGCTTAATTATGATGACATTAACGGTACTTTATAAGCATTAAAATACATAATTTTACCTTCATTAAGGTATAACCGATTTTATTCTTAAGAAACAGAAAAATTTAAAATGAACGCATTTAACCACACAGTCCACATCATGCATAAATTCAATTATACAGTAAAATGAATAGAAAAAAGGTTACGATAGCAACAAATATACTGAAATGCAAAAAAAAGTTTGTTAGTTGAATAAATTTTTTAATCATAAAGACATTGGAGTTTACAAATGACATAATTTTTTTTATTGAGTTAGACCTGTAAGATAATTATTGTAAAGAAATTTTGCAAGAAACTAACATCGATGGGAAACCAAGTCGATATTGGACTTTTTTATGATCTTATCAGCGTGTACTTAGGCAAAATAGAATTCAGCACCTCTATAATACGCATCAAAACAGTGAGTTTGGATAGAATGATTAATATTCTGAAGATCATCAGGTATACAAAATATTTTGACTATCATCCTGTGACATAGTTGCCTTTACCACTAAACAATACACTTCGTCGATCACAACTTCCGATCGCAGACAAATCCGTAATTTTTGGAAATTTTATAGACGTTAGTTCAAGAATCATTGGAAACCAGAAGCAAATACTGAATTCCGGTGAAGTGAAATTTGATGAAACATTATTCGGTAGTAGAGTTTTTAGTTATGAAAAAATATAGTTAAACCCCTCATCATCTATTTATATTGTAATTAGAAAATAAAAAATGTAGTTCATCTTTACATTGACATTTTATGACATAATTAATTAGGAAAATAAGTTGAATGTCAATCACTATAATACTATTTATAATTAAGTAGTACTTCATACTATAACATACACAAAATACTTCAAAATACTCAGTTCATTTATCAATAGAAGTTGATAGTATGCCAAAATTGTTTCATTTGTATACACTCATTTGAATTAATGTCAAAAGTCCTCATACATTAAGTGTAATAATTAGTCTTAAATTATTGATCATAAAGTATATTGAATATCTTATCTACTTATAAGTTAAACAAAACAAAAAATATATTTACTAGTTTTTGTTCATCTTTTCATAACAATTTCATCACAATTTGTCACTTTTATTAATTAAAACTTGAATAATACCAAGTTTATCAATCAGTGATATCATAAAACAAGTGATCAGCTTTGAAAGATGATATATATTTCATTTATATTTTAAAAAGTTTCTACTGATTTAAGAATTATATTCACTGTTGGAAGTTTAACCAAACTATTACCATAATTTGGAATCGGAAATAGATGAAAAGGTTTTCTTTGTTTAAAAAAGTAAGCACTTTGAAAAATAAACTAAATACTGATATTATCGATATTATAGATATAAATGATTCCTTTTTATTTCATTATGTTTAGCCAGAAAACAATGAATTTTCAATCTGAATAACTGAAATATTCCTAAACTAAAAACATGTAGGATTAAATGATCTAAAAAAATACAGAAAATTCTAGTTTGAGTGTATATATACACTGAAATCCTCAATAATTTGTGTAGTAGTATGTCGTCAGATTAGTAAGTATTGATTATAAACGACATTTTGATCTCCTGACATGACAAATGTTTCAAGTTAATTTTGTTTTTATTATCATACAAACGAAACTCTATATTTTCATGACAATTAAAGGGTAAATTTTCATTGAAATCATGGATCGTTCAATGTTAGATAACCATTAGAATCCATGTGTGAGACAAAAGGTCCTGGGTTTGATTCCCACGTTCGGGTGTAGTAGACGCGCACTGCTGATGAGTTTCATACCAGGACGAAACGACCGTCCAGTGCTTCCAGGATTCTAATGGTGGTCCAACATTGATCATTACATGATTTCGATGAAACTCATCAATCTCCTTAACCATATAATGAAAAAGAGTAAATTTATTGACTCAGGCTAACATAAAAGTTATTTAGAAATTGAATTGGCAAATAAACATGTGATAAAACACGTTCTACTTTGTATTATGTAACATCCAAAATTCCTATCAGTATATTTACGTGTGCGCAATCTCTGTATTGTGAAATATATTGATAAGACAATACCAAATTATCATTTTTTACGTAACATATTATTTATTCTCACTTGTAGTATGATATCTGATATAACGTGTAAAATATAAGTATACTTACTGTTCGACAAGTTGGACCAAGGCGAAGAACCTGATTTCTATTTCTCACCATGCCTAGTGATGAATAGCATCCTCTAGAAAAGAAAAAAACAGTTAAGTGCAAAAAACCAGCAGTCATCTTTTTGATGATAAGCTTTGTTTTATTAAAACAAACCATATGACAGATGAAGTTTTAAACATGTTTATCTTTATGAACTAGAGAAAACTGGATGTTTTGAAAATCCGCATATTTTCCTCCGTTAATACTTTGTTAGTAATCGCATTCCTAATGATTTTTCCCCTGATTAATATCATTAATAGAATTAAGACATCGAATATGTCATTAAAGAACACCAACATTTGTAGTCAAGTCACGCTTCGAATTTCCTCCAAGAAGTTATCGTTAAAATTTTAGATTATTTTTATGGCTAGAAGATACGTTAGTGTGACGAGAAACAGACACATATAAACGCTGAATTGTACGGTAACGATAACAGATTATGCGGAATAACGTTGATATAAATGCAAGAATCCTTCTAATCGATTTTGTGCTTTCCATTTGCTAGTGATAATCACATTTTGTCCGTCAAATTAAATTATACCGATAAAGTCTGGTATTATTATTTTTTAGCTAATTGATAGCATTCAGTAAGAATCTTTAATCGCCATTATCAGATTAGTATTAAGGAGAAAAAAAGTACATATTTTCTGAAGAATCAGTGACCAACTAGTGTAACTATCTCAGTGCTAGAAAGGATTCATTATCTCAATGGTAACGTTTCAAAACATGACATTAGGCGACAGGACTTTATTGTTTTTAATCGATTTTGTTGTACTACTTTCAATAATATTTTTTATCAGATACATAAATTCCGTCCGGTAAGATGTTAAGGATGACATTCCTACTTTAAAGAAAGTAATATTTAAAAATCATCTTAAGCGGGAACCTTTTAACAGAAAATAATGGAGTAGATAAAACAATCATTCTAGCTGCTAGTTGGGTACATATATATTAAGTAAAGCATCAACATATTGAGGAAGCGAAAGTTTGTTTGATGGTTTATACATTAATTCACTCATTCGTGTACCGATTGGATTCTGTCCACTTATCACTATTGTCATTCATTAAACAAAGTAGTTGAAATCTTTTCGTACGTATCTTGATAGTTAGTTTTTTTTATAATCAAGGATCGTGTTAAGTTATTATCATTATTGAAATCATGAATCGATCAATGTTAGACCACCATTAGAAACCTGGAAGCACTTTTCTGACAATAGGAATCGCTAGAATAATATAAAATTTATCATTCATTGTTAGTGTTAAATATATGTATATAACAATAATAGAAGACCTTTTTCCATTTATTGTGAATGTGTATATACGGCGAAAACTCCTCAATGGAATATAAACTTGTTCAAACCTAGTTTTAAGTTAGTAAGATAATATGCGCGATACTTAAACAATGGTAGTTTATTTTCAAGTTTGTAAGGATAACTATGAATAATTCTTCATCTCATTATAAATAATTCATTTCTTTAAAGTTAAATTTTACTTCAGTTAATGTGCGTAGATTTTAATCTACACTCCTAAATGCATTTACAATCTACTGATGTATCTCTGATTGAATTTTGCAATGATTACTATCATAAAGAATTATTGACATCAGCTATGCTATTCATTTTACAATAATGAGAGTGGTCTGTTTGTTGATAATTACATGTCAGTTTATTGATGAAAAGATGTATTCAAATTTATTCACCGAATGAACTACACATTATTAATAATCCTTAAATCAATTAAGCATAACATGATTATTATGATCAATTATCTATTTAACTAAATACAAATACAATTGTTTGCATGCTCAAAAAATAATATATTTACCTTTGACCTCGACCTTTAATTCGAATCACATGTCTATCATGAAATCTTCGTGAATTAATTCTAGAAGTTAGATCATAAAATTGAATACATGTTTCCTCTTCAATAATTGACATTGCTTTTTTAATTAATAAAACATCAAGTTCTAGAAATTAGAAATATACATCAAGGAAATTTTTTTTTTGCAAGAATTCATAAAATGGTTTAATTTGAATATTGTTAAATATAAAATATTATTTTTCAGTAACAGTCATAGGACTTGAATAGCTAAGTAATATCTACAAATTAAAATAATTACAGCTTCAAGTCATTAAGTCATCTAACTGAAAGAACAGAATAACTCCGAAATTTTCATCCTAAGCTACAAATATATTCCATCAAGCGCATGACCGAAGGTCCTGGGTTCGAGTCCTGAGAGGTGCAGGAGTCATGCATGCGCACTGCTGATGAGTCCCACACGAGGACAAAATGGCCGTCTTACAGTGCTTCCAGGTTTCTAATGGTGGTGGTCTAACAATGATTGATTGATTGATTGATGATTTCAATGTTTAATAACTGAAAAAACACGATAACTCTTCAGCCTAAGCTACAAATGTTTGCTATCATACCTGATTAACAAACATAAATGAGATAGTAAAACCAAAAGAAGTATTCTACTTAACAGCTCCAAGCTATTACAATTAATATTCTATTTATAATCCTTATCTTCATTCAAATAGCCAGTGAATGTTGAGTAGTTTGAATAACTTATTCTATTGGAGAAGTTCAATTTATTGATGCATTTAATTTATATGGTTAAAAATTAAGCTTACTTGAGCAACTAATCATTGAAACATTTTTTTCACAATGAAAGTATGGTAGAACTTGACATTTTTACTATTAAATTCAATTAATGAAACTTTTTTTTTTAAATCTTACTATCTGAATAAATGTTTGTTACATATCTTGAGGCTTAATAATTACTGTCTTATTTGATTATGTGCTTGAACATTACTATAAGCAATTGATAAGCTTGCATAGCTAGATCTCAAAGAGACTTTATTTTGTGAGTTCAATAAAAGACAACTTCTCTTACGACCAAAGTGTTAGAATACAACGAAAAATCATTTTAACAAGAGTCCAAACTCTTTCGTTTCTTTTTATAAAAATGAATAGTTAACAATATATTTATTTAGCTTTGTACTAAATAGACTTTTAACCGACAGATTCTAAAAAATCTGACAATATATTCAAGCAATTGAAGAACAATACTAAACTAGTAACCAGATTTTCAAGTCTCGGCTTAATCTTTAACCGATTAGATTAAGCATGAAAACATTCCTTTTTGTATTCTTTTAATTCACATGGTTGTTCGGTTACAGATTATAAATTGCATTTTTTTTTAAATGGAGTAAAATTTTATTTTGTAAGCTACACTTATCGATTGTAGTATATTATTTAACAATATGTTAAAACCATTTTCAGGAAAATATTTTTTAACTTCAAATTTAACCGACCTCAGATGTTTATGGTTTTCGAAGGTTGTAACAGAAACCGTTGAGTGTATATTGATTGAATTTGAAAATATCATTTCTATTTTGTGACTTAGTCTACTAATCTAGGGCAATTTAGTAAAATGAAATCAATTTTTTCATAGAATTTAAATCACGAATTGATCCTAGTTAGATCAGTATTCAAAGCTTGGACTCATTGGCCGATTATTTCGTCTCTGATTTCCAGATGCTAAGATCGTTGATACACTGGGCTATAGAGTCCCACTCTAAGACGAAATATCCACCTGTTGCTCGTATGATTTCAATGGTTGTCTAAGTAAGATTAATTTGTGATTGAAACCTATGAAAACTCTGTAATCTCCACATAATCGTATGCTGAAATTAAAACACCACTTACCGAATCTTATACTATTGAAGCAATAAAACCTGTACTAAATGTTCAAACTGATTATATTACGTTTCATATTACTGTATCAACAAAAAAAATCAAAGTACGACGCGATGCAGTTTTGAATGATACCTTTTATCAAAGAATAAAACGATTTGATAATTTTGCAAAAACAGCTATGCATCGAACAGTTGCACTATTCACGATTAGGACTAGTTAGTAGAAAAATTCCATAAAATCATTAGTGATCAACCATGTCTATTACAGCAGTCAGTTTTTTATTTTTATGACAAAATGTATTAATCGACAGGTGTCTAATGTTAAATTCGACTGCTTTTGGACTAAGTCATGTCGATAGGTGTCGACTACCTGGTTGGGGTCAGCGAGATGATAATAATCGATGGTTAGAGACTCTGAATGATATGGCTCAAAAACGTTTGCAATGGCGCAGGTGCATTCATTCTTTATGTTCTCTCAAGTCCTAACCCTCTGAATTCCTCATCACCTCTATCTTTCTCTTTCTAAATTTACCTCACTGAATTATACTTCTTGAATTAACGTCTTCGAACCCTAATCTCTCCGATTACTTCTAATACTTTTACTACCTCTACTACTATGGGATTTGAATTGACAATTACATCTCAGTGCGCTAATGTGGTATAGCAACAGGAACTGATGTACGTACGTTCATAGTTTTACGTTGCTATTGATTGATTGCAAGTAAAATTATCGAAAACGTAAATGCCATTTGTCAGTGGTTGCAATCCATAACTGTCTTAATACCATGCATACACATATAATTACCGTATTAGAATCCTATTATTTGTACTAATTGGTTCTCAAAGAAAAAAATCCAACATTATTTATTAAAGTTTAATAATCAAACACAAAGTCATCATCGGTCCTCAGTTAAATCTACATACATGATTAAAATTCATAGTTTCAACTCAATGCTTATTCATGTGCGTGTGTGTGTGTTCATACAATACTGTGAAGATCCTGTAACAGGTTTACACATATTCTTTAGAAATTACTTCACAATCGAGAATCTATCTAGATTTTAAATCCAGATAGAGAAAAAAAAAGCATTGTTCATATTTTACTGATAAAGTTGAAAATAATTAATTAACTTTAGAAATAATTCACTTACTAGAAAAATATTCTGTGAATTCATTAGTTTTTGATTTATCTATATCATCAATAATATAAGGTATAATACCATTTGGCCATAATTGAAGATTTTTCATACTTAATGAACGTTGATAACGTGGTAAATAAGTTGCATTAATCATTGTAAATTGTTCATAATAGATATTAATAAAACTAATTATTATAATTGTATAAATTAAAATATTTTTTGTAAACATTATTTCAAGTTTTCTTTTTTTTTTTTTAATGATATATTCCACTGTATTTTCAATTGTAGCACTTCTTATTTATACATGTATTATTAATGAATATGAGTTTGTGTAGTTGAATGAAAATATCTTTATTTTATAACATTTAATATGTAATATGTGAAATATTATTGAGAGATGTACATTTGATTTGTTCCAATAATCAATAGGTTTAAAAGGGGGTTGATGTTGAATGATTGAAAGACAGACAGACATATTTAGCCGGTGTAGGGAAAAATCAAATTGACAATGAAGAAATATTGTTCACTTCAAGGATAACAGACAACTGTTGAATAAAACAACAACAACAGATGTATTATATTTAAATTTGCCTTGATTCAATAATAAAGTAACAAGAGTTTTAAAAAAAAAAATTCATCAACAATTGCATATCTTTTTACAGTTTGTAAAAGAACATCATTTAGAGTGTTAATGTCAGGCATAAATTTAACAAACTATAGTGTTTAATTTTTTTTTCTTTGCTTGTAGTTTTATGTTGTTCATTGCCTTTCATGTGAATGAAAATTAATTACATTAGCATGTAAATGTATACAAAATATCTTTGTAAAATAACTTAAATTTGTTCTGTAATATTACTTACGTTGAAAATGCTAGAAATTAGTTTATTTTTCTGAAACAATATCATCCTTAAAACAGTGTTTATAAATTATCAGTAAGTATATTTTTTTATATTGTCTGTACCTGGATTGAATATGTATCCTGAAGACGGAAAATTTTAATTATATAAGAAAGAATGTGTTTTGTTGATTAATGTTGAAATGATTATCACTTAGTAAATAATGATTTTAATAATTATTTCTTACATATTAAGTTATATTCAAGAAAATTAAAGTATGTTCTTGACTGAATATTATTTCATAATGAATGATACAAAGACCTTGGTTACTGTGTGGTGCGCGCTACTTATAAGTAGTTTATGACGCGAGTAAAAACGTAATGTCTGGCAGCAGAAGATGGGGGAAGATCAAGTAAGGAATAGCGGGAACACAATGGAATTAGCATGAAACGCATGAGTGGTGAAATGTCAGACAATGGATTGATTTTTGCAACAGGAACAGTGCGGTTCGATATGATGGATTGATATTTTGCAAATTAACGATTTACGATATGGTTTTCCTATTCTACCAATTAACGCTGTAATTTAAGATAAATACAGTTCCATTGCCCTCACCTGTGTTCTCCTTCACTACAACTGTACTGAAAATTCTTAACATTTTTATTGTTGAATTTGAATTCATAAAATATTTTACAAGAAATGATGCAATTTTCATAACCCCAGTGACTAGATTCGAGAGGGAACTGTGACTAGTGGAGCTGAACCGCGTAAAGTTTGAGGTAGGTTTCCAACAAAAACGATGAAAGATAATAATCGCTGGGTCATTCGTCAAGAAGTTCGTTATCCTCACGCGAGACCGATGGATGATGCTAGGTTCGATTCTTACGTACAAAAGTGTAGATGAACACTGCTGAAAAGTCCCATACATGGACGAAATGTTATTTAGTGCTTTCAGTTTTCCTGTGCTGTTTCAACTCATTTTTTTAATTAAACATTTTATTAACTGAGTTTTGTTTGTGTATACGTAACTTATAAAAGAGTATTTTTAAAAGAATGTTTAATTTCGGTGAAAATCAAATAATTTCATATGAATTTTATTTTAAAATAATCTACTGTTATACATTATTTGCTTTACTGATAAGAGATTGCACATAAATATTAAAAATTTTCGTATGAAGTTTTACGACAGTAGTCACTGACCCAGTGAAATCGTATTTGCAATTAATTAAAGCATATATGTTTGAAGAAGATTAGTGAATAAAATGTTCAGAAGCTTCACATTTTAAAAGAGCTCTGTGTGAGACTGTAAAAGTTTTAAAAAGTGATAAGCTGGAAACAAACATATTAGGAATGTTTTTTTATTTTACGAATACGAGGCAAACGGCACTAGCAAACAATTAATAGCAATCGAAAATTGGAGGGATCTATAACCAAATAATTAACAGTAATGAAAAGTTATAAGAGTTAGTTTCATGGTAGAACGACAGACTGTACATACTCAAAGTTGATGCTTGAGCAGTTGAACTCATAAACAGAAACATAGCTATGCAACAAGTTTCGAAATGAGGATAGATCAATGCCTGTGAACAAGTGAGAGTTGAGTATTTAAAAAATGTTCTGATCACACTTATGAAGATATTTCTTATGTGAAAACTAATAAAAGTCAATTACATAAAAAGATAGGATGCGTAAAAGTGATCGTAAAATGTTGAAGCGAGATAGTATAATACTGGAGGTGTGCGAATACATCACATTAACTCTGAGGTTATGATGAATTGATGATATCAGATAATTACTTTGTGAAAAACAACTTGATTTTGGATACATCTCGAAAGTTTGCATTTTGCATCGACAAACATTGATTATTTTATGTTGGGACGGTACTCTGAAGCCAAATACATTTTCTCCATTGACAGCTTGATAGAATTCCTAGTATACTGACGTGGCGTACGGTGACTTGACAGTTGTGTAACATCGTCGCTTGCGGATTGTATGGTTATAATTAAGTTTTCATTCTATAAAAATCTATGAACACACATAGTTTCCCTGTACATTTCGATACTTACTGGAATAAATATTTCCTCTATTTTCTTCCGGCTGTTTTAGTACCAAAGTTCGTATTCCGTATTAACAGTATCAAGAAGCAGAATAAAAATCTGTCATACAACCTATTTCAATTGTTCGTCTTGTTATCGAGCAGGAACAGTGTCTATTAACTTCTAATATATGGACTTATGATAAGAACTTATTTTGTCATTGTACACAGAATACTCCTTTCTATCAATTTGCGCTCATATGCGTGTAAACTAGGTTGGTGAGTGCAGTTGTGACTTAATTACTCACAGCCTACTGAGAATCACAAAACGTGATAATACTGTTGGATGCTAGTGTTCATAGAAATTTAAGTTCATTTCATTTTAATAAAAATAAGTTAAAAGCAGTAATTTTAAACTGTATTTCCATTGATAAAATATGGTAAAAAAATTTTCGCCAGTGGTGATTACAATCGAAAAGACTACTAGGTTAACGAAAGAAATTCAGGCCTGTTACTGATTAGGTTGAATAGATTTCAACTGCATATTAGGACCTCGTTGCACTAAGAACTTCACGCTGACTGATCACTCGTATGAAAAAGGGTAAATACTTAAGTCAACTACATTTCTGTCTAACTTTAATATTCCTCAGCTTTACCTATGAGAATGAGCAAAGAAATCAAATAGTTCAGTTATCTAGTGAACGATTCCTGTAGTAAAAGTCTGATATGTTTATATTCTGAGATTTTATAACCGAATCAGAGTTCCGTTTTTTTTTTTTTGAATCACTGCTTAATAATTGTAAGAATCTTTGGTTGATACTTGGTTTCCTAATATTATGAAATATATCAGTCTGAAATAAATTTGTAAAGAAAGTTGTAAAAAAATAATCTATTCATCAGTGATAGTTTTGTAGCAGCTTAGTTCAAAACGTCATCAAACAGACTATTTTTTTTACTAAGATCTTAATTTTCTATGAAAAATAACTATCATTAAGGCTTTTAAACTTAGAAAATACTACTGTTAAATTCTTTCAATGTAGTTAACATTGACTATATACCGATTCTTGAAGGAGAAAATAGTTTAAAACTTATTTAAAAACAAAAACCAACCAGCAAAGAAAACCGTCATAACAAAGAAATTTAATGACTTGAATACATGTTGACAGAACAAACAGTTACATAGGATAAAAAAACAGTACATGGAATTTTCTTTTAATACAAATGAGAAAATTCCTCTCGCTGCTGGATATTTTTTTCATCATAGCATTTATTTTTTAAATGAATATTTATGATCATTTTCTATTTGCGTAATTTTACAAGGGTGGATGTTGACAAAAAAAGAAAAATTTCGCACTCGACTTTGAAATATTTTACGTTAATTGATCAGGAATCCCAAAATTCAGGCCAAAATATTAAGTTCATCTTGAATTGATCAATTTACAGTGAGTTTGAAGTCAAAATGAGTATTTGATTCTAATTTTGGGAAATATCATTGGTTATTCTAACTGGTCTTAGCAATATGTAAAGCTTTGTTTTAAATTATACTGCTCTAGACTTGTTACTTTTTTCTAAGATAGGATTATCAGTACCCAAGCCTAGACAAAACAGAATCTCATGTCCTCAAGCCTCATAAGGAACTCGATACCAGTGAGAATTCTTATGTCTTCAGCTCTAATTTTTGGTACAACATGTGGTGACCGGTGCCTCACTAGTCTCGTGGCAGTCGGCATTCGATATTTTCTAAGACTTCGTATGCTGCACGTCCGAACAACTGTTACTAAATAACGACTCATGGTTAACAAATCAAAAGAGGAATACGAATAGTTGAATATGTTTATTTGGCGTACCACAAATAAACCAACAAACTACAGGCACACAAAACAAAAATAATATGCGAATGTTGGAAAATGAATCAGTCATCGAAATATTTAAGAGGCTAACATTAAAACGAGTAGGATGAATATGTGAGTAGGCGTTGAGCGATGTTCAGTCATGCCTGACCATACAATCCCGAGAATAATAAAAGCCAAGAGTACATATAAGTTATTAACTATACGAATGACTCAATTAAAAAAAGTTAATCAAATTGCTTAACCAAATTAAATATGAACAAACTCAGATGTATGTCGAGATACAAAAAAGCATTTTCAGTTATTTGTTTCATTACGTAATGTAACTAGATAATCTTAGTTGAATAGGTAATTCGATTATAAGATGAATATTTGACAATAATAATTTTGTTTTTGTATCCGATATTACGTAGAACGTCCGTGTACATTTTGTATACATTGATTTTATTGTCAAATGGCATAAAATAAAATGAGACGTAATTTTTGTTATTTGATTAATGCGCACGTG